AGATTTTGTGGCTGCTTTTTAAGCAATGGTGGAAAGGAAAAGCAGAAACTCTGGGATATTATTTAAGAAAAAAAAGGAGCCAAAATTCCCTGGAAAAGGGGATGGTGGAGGGGAGAAGCAGAAAATCTGTGATTTTATATTAAAAAAATATTTTTAAAAAGATGCTCAAAATTCCCTGGAAAATGAGAATTTTTCTTGCTGTTTTTTAAGGGATGGTGGGAGGGGAAAAGCAGAAACTCTGGGATATTATTTAATAAATATTTAAGAAAAAACGGGAGCAAAATTTCATTGAAAGGAGGTATTATTAAAGGAAAAATATGGGGTTTACAGGCAAAAATTTATCTTTTTTTTAGGTTTTTTTTTTTTTTTTTGTGGGATGGTGGAAGGGGAAAAGCAGGAAATCTGGGATATTGTTTTTAAAAATGATGCCTAAAATTCCCTGGAAAATGGGGTTTTTTGGGCTGTTTCTAAGAGATGATGGAAGGGAAAAGCAGAAAATTTGGGATATTATTTAATAAATATTAAAAAACAAACAGTGCCCAAAAATCCCAGGAAAAAAGGATGAAGGGAAGAGCAGAAAATTTGGGATAATATTTTTTTTAATGGTGCCTAAAATTCCCTGGAAAATGGGATTTTTGTCACTCCTTTTAAAGAGATGATGGAAGGGAAAAGCAGAAAATTTGGGATATTATTTAATAAATATTAAAGAAAAAAAACTATGCCCAAAATTCCCTGGAAAATGAGATTTTTGTGGCTGCTTTTTAAGGGATGGTGGAAAGGAAAAACAGGAAATTTGAGATAGTGTTTAATACATATTTAAGAAAAAACAGGAGCCAAAAATCCTTGGAAAAAGGGATGAGGGAAAGGAAAAGTGGGAAATTTGGGATTTTTCTTTTTTAAATGGTACCTAAAATTATCTGGAAAATGGGATTTTTGTGGCTGTTTTTTAAGGGATGATGGAGGGGAAAAGCAGGAAATCTGGGATATGATTTAGAGGATATTTTTAAAAGCAGTACCTAAAATTCCACAGAAAATGGGATTTTTGTGGCTGTTTTTAAGGGATGGGAAGGGACAAGCAGGAAAAGGGTCGGGAAGGGAAATCCCAATCCTAAACCTGACCCAGCGCTGCTCCTGCCCAGGAGAGGGGTCAGGGATCGGGGCTGGGATTGGGATCTGGGATTGGGATCGGGGTCAGGGATGGGGATTGGGATTGGGGCTGGAATCGGGGCTGGGATTGGGATTTGGGATTGGGATCAGGGTCAGGATTGGGATCAAGGATTGGGATCGGGGATTGGGATCAGGATCGGGATCAGGGTCAGGGATTGGGATTGGGGCTGGAATCGGGGCTGGGATTGGGATCAGGGTCAGGGATCGGGAATAGGGTCAGGGATTGGGATTGGGGCTGGGATTGGGGCTGGAATCGGGGCTGGGACTGGGATCTGGGATTGGGATCAGGGTCAGGGATTGGGATCAAGGATTGGGATCGGGGATTGGGATCGGGATCAGGGTCAGGGATTGGGAATGGGGTCAGGGATTGGGATCAGGGTCAGGGATTGGGGCTGGGATTTGGGCTGGGATTGGGATCAGGGTCAGGATTGGGATCAGGGCTAGGATTGGGATCAGGGCAGGGGTCAGGGCCAGGGATTGGAGTCAGGGATTGGGATTGGGATCAGGGTCAAGGATTGGAGTCAGGGATTGGGATTAGGATCAAGGTCAGGGATCAGGATCAGGGTCAGGGATTGGGATCTGGGCTAGGATTGGGATCAGGGCAGGGGTCAGGGCCAGGATCAGGGTCATGGCTGGGGTCCGTCCCCGTTTGGGCAGATCTTGGGATTTGGTTTTGGGATTTGGGCAGATTTTGGGATTTGGAATCTGATTGGATTTTGGGATTTGGGCAGATTTTTGGGATTTGGGGTCTGGGCAGATTTTGGGATTTGGGATCTGGGTGGATTTTGGGGTTTGAGCAGATTTTTGGGATTTGGGGGTGGCTGGATTGGGGACAAGGCTGGATTTTCCTCCCTTGCCCTTGGGATTCTGGATGAATTCCAAAAGAAATCAAATTTCAGTGATTTTGACCCATTTATCCCAACTCTAACCTGAAATCCAAATTAAAACCTTCCTTTTCCGTGGGTTTTTCCAGTTTTTCCCCAGGTCGGGTGGGACGAGGACCAGGGAATTTTCCCCCTCAAACCAAACGGAATTTTTCAGGGATTGCCATCGAAAAATTCCCAAATTTAACCAAATCCTCGATTTCCCTGGAGCAGAAATTCAGGGAGGGGCAAAAAAAAAAAAACCCTCAAAAATAATAAAACCGAGCTTAAAAAAAAATCCCAAAGGAACGAAAAGCGACTAAAATCCCGGGATTTTGCCGGGGAGGGATGGAAATTCCCGAGAATCCCCCAAGGCCGCAGACAAAGGGCGGGTGATGAATGCAGGGTTGGGGTTAGGCCGGGTTTAGGCCCGGTTTTATCTGAGCCGGGTAAAAAACTCATTAATCCCCAGACTAAATGAGGTGAGAATGCAAATAGCGGCAGGGGACGAGGGCAGGAGGGGGAAAAAAGGGAGAAAAGGGAAAAAAATTGGATTTTTTTAATAGGAGAGAGGAAAAAATTTGGTTTGTTTTATGGGGGAAGGGGGGAAAATGGGATTTGTTTAATAGGAGAGAGGAAAAAAAATGGGATTAATTTTATAGGGGAAGGGGGAAAAATGGGATTTGTTTTATAGGGGAGAGGAAAAAAAAATGGGATTTGTTTTATAGGGGATGGAAAATAAAAATGGGATTTGTTTTATAGGGGATGGAAAATAAAAATGGGATTTGTTTTATATGGGGAAGGGGGAAAATCAGATTTGTTTTATAGGGGGTGGAAAATAAAAGTGGGATTTGTTTTGTATGGGATGGAAAAAAATGGGGTTTGTTTTATACGGGATGGGGGGAATGGGATTTGTTTTATAGGGGAGAGGAAAAAATGGGATTTGTTTCCCAAAGCCTGATCCCAAAGCCCGTTCCTGTTCCCAGAGCCTCTTCCCAAGACCTGTTCCTAAACACCATTCCCAAAGCCCGATCCCAAAGCCCCTTCCCATTCCCAAGGACCCTTCCCAAAGCCCCTTCCCATTCTCAAGGACCATTCCCGTTCCCAAAGTGAGTTCCCAACGCACGTTCCCATTCCCAAAGCACATTCCCATTCCCAAAGTGAGTTCCTGTTCCCATTCCCGTTCCCGTTCCCGTCCCCGTTCCCCGTTCCCGTTCCCGTTCCCATTCCCATTCCCATTCCCATTCCCGTTCCCATTCCCGTTCCCATTCCCGTTCCCGTTCCCATTCCCATTCCCATTCCCGTTCCCGTTCCCGTTCCCATTCCCATTCCCCATTCCCATTCCCATTCCCGTTCCCTTTCCCATTCCCATTCCCATTGCCGTTCCCGTTCCCATTCCCATTCCCATTCCCGTTCCCGTTCCCGTTCCCATTCCCATTCCCATTCCCGTTCCCGTTCCCGTTCCCATTCCCATTCCCATTCCCATTCCCCATTCCCGTTCCCGTTCCCTTTCCCATTCCCATTCCCATTCCCATTCCCGTTCCCTTTCCCATTCCCATTCCCGTTCCCGTTCCATTCCCGGTCCCGTTCCCGTTCCTGTTCCCGTTCCCGTTCCGTTCCCTTTCCCGTTCCCGTTCCCGTTCCCCGGGCGCGCTCCCGGTCCCGCGCGTTCCCGGCCGCCCCCACACGGGGGCGCTGCAGAATTCCGGAGCCGCCGCCGCGCCCGGGGGGACCGCGGGACCCCCAAATAAACCCTAAAATCACTAAAATTGCCCCAAATAAACCTGGAATACACCAAAATGACACCAAATAAACCCTAAAAACACAAAAATACCCCCAAATAGACACTAAGTACACCAAAATGACCCCAAATAAACCCTAAAAACACGAAAATAACCCCAAATAGACATTAAATACACCAAAATGACCCTAAATAAGCCCTAACAACACCAAAAGAACCCTAAATACACTAAAATCACCCCAAATCCACCTGAACAGACCCCGATAGCCACGGGCAGATACCTCTGAATAACCCCAAACCGTGCAAATAACCCCAAATAGTGCAAATAACCCCAAATCGTGCAAATAACCCCAAATCGTGCAAATAACCCCAAATCGTGCAAATAACCCCAAAGAACCCCCAACAGACACAGAGAGACCCCCCCCAGACACCCCAAATATTCCTTGAGAGCCCCAAAAATCCTTTGGCGCCCCCAAATATCCCCCGAGACACACGGACACACCCCGAGATCCAGTGAAACCTCTGGGCACCCCAAATATCCACAGACAGCCCCAAAAATCCCCCGATAAACACGGACACACCCCAAATATTGGCTGACAAACGGGAATAAAGGAATATCCAAAGGGATCAATCGATATCCAAAGGGAGCAGTCAATAACCAATGGGATCAATCAATAACCAAAGGGATCAATCAATAACTAATGGGATAAATCAATATCTAAAGGGATTAATCATAACCAAAGGGATCAATCCATAACCAAAGGGATCAATTGATATCCAAAGGGATCAATCAATGACCAAAAGGATCAATCAATATCCAAAGAGATCAATCAATAACCAAAGGGATCAATCAATGACCAATAGGATCAATCAATATCCAAAGGGATCAATCAATAACCAAAAGGATCAATCAATATCCAAAGGGATCAATCAATAACCAATAGGATCAATCAATACCCAAAGGGATCAATCAATAACCAAAGGGATCAATCAATGACCAATAGGATCAATCAATATCCAAAGGGATTGATCAATAACCAAAGGGATCAATCGATTGGGAATGGAGGAAGCGCTGAATTCTGGGATGGATGACAGGAAACCCCAATGGATTCCGGCTTTATCCTTGATCTTCTCCCGAAGACAAAATTCCAGCAATTCCAAGAAACACCAAAAACATCCCAGAATTCCAAGAAATTTTCCGAAACGTTCCCAAAAAATCAGCGACTCACCCTCATCCCGGAATTCTGTCGGGAACGAAGCCGGGGAAATCCGGGAAGGGCCGAAATTCCAGCCAGGATTCTCCTCGGAGCCGTCGCGTCCGTCGCGCTCGTCCCCACCTGGGTGGGAGCGAATTTTGGGGAAATTTGAGGAATTTTGAGGGAAAATTGAGAAAAATTTCAGAAATTTGAGGATTTTTTGTGGAAAATTTGAGGAAAATGTGAGGAACTTTTGAGGAATTTTTGAGGAAATCTGAGGAATTTTGAGAAAAATTTGACAAATTTGGAAATTCCTACCCCCGAATTTTACCATTTCCTTCCAAAATCCAACCTGATTTTTGTGGGATTTTCAGGGGTTTTAGGATAAAGGATAAAACCATGGATTTTTGATATAAATTTACAGGAAAAAAGGATAAAACCATGGATTTTTTTAATACTTATTTACAGGAAAAGGGAATAAACCATGGATTTTCCATATAAATTTACAGGGATTGGGATAAAACCATGGATTTTTGGTATAAATCTTTTTGAAAAAGGATAAAAACATGGATTTTCCCTATAAACTTTTGGGGAAAAGGATAAAAACATGAATTTCCTACAAACAAATGACCCCATCCGAGGTGTGGAAAGGATCTTTCCGCTCCTGAAATGAATTTATTTGGAATTTTCCGGGGAATTTCCATGGGCTTTTCTGGAGAGGCCGCCCAGCGCCAGGTGCTGAAATTGACTTTTAACGAAAGCGGGGATGAAAGATTTTTAATTTGATATTAAAAGGTTTTAAATTGGATATTAAAAGGTTTTTAATTGGACGTGGAGAGGTTTTTAATTCAATATTTGCTCGGGCCGGGGCAGCTGCTCCTCACTCAGCGCCCTCCAAACAGCCCCAAAATGGAATTTCCAGCAGCGATTTCCAAATAAAGCTGGGCCAGAAAATGATCCAAGGGCAAGAATTCCCGTTTTTAGGGGAAAAATGGGAATTATAAAGGAAAAAAAAAATGGGGTCATTAAATGACCTAATATCAAGGATTCCCATTTTTTGGGAAAAAATGGGATTTATAAAAAAAAAAGTGGGGTCATAAAATGATCCAAGGGCAAGAATTCCCTTTTTTAGAGAAAAAATTGGAATAATAAAGGACAAAAAGCGGGGATTTTTGTGTGGGATATGTTTGGGATTTTTTGGGGCTTTTTTTTGGGGGGGGGGTTGGGGATATTTACGTTTGGGAATTTTGGGGGATTTTTTTGGGATTTTTGGGATTTTGGGGGAATTTTTTGGGATGTTTTGGGGGTTTTTTTTGGAATATGTTTAGGATTTTTTTTGCTATTTTTTTAGGCTTTTTTTTAGGATTTTTGGGGGATTTTTTTGGGATGGAGCTGCTGGAGCTTGCAGTGATTGTAGGTGCCCAGCAGGTCGGGCTGCGAGGCAGCGGCAGCCGGGAATGCGCCGCTGGAATTTCCCTCCCCTCCCCCAGGCACGGGAAAAACATGGAATTTCTTGGGAATATCCAAATCCAGCAAGGAATAATATATTATATAATATATATAAAATATATAAATATATAATTTTATAAAAACTCTAAAAATATTATCATATATATAATATATAAATATATAATTATCTGAAAACTCTAAAAATGATACCATATATATAATATATAAATATATAATTATCTGAAAACTCTAAAAATGATATCATATATATAATATATAAATATGTATATATTTATATATATATAAAAATATGTAAATATATAAATATATTAAAATTCTTTGCTTTTGTTTCCATCTCCGCCATGTTTTGACATCTCCGGGGCCGGGGATTTGAGCCGCGCGTTCCCGTTCCCGTCAATCCCGACGGTTTTTTCTGCTTTTTCCCAAACACTTCATAAATCCCAGCCGGGCTCGTGAGCCCGAGCCCCGCTCAGCAAAGGCTTTTTCTAAATAAAACTTCCTAAAATCAACCAGCACTCCATCAATTCCCGGCCACTCCGGCCCGGCTTCAAAGGGAATCTTTGCAGCAAAAAAAGGGAATTTTTGGGGTTTTTTATTTTTGTTGTTGTTTTAATGATTTGCTACTTGGCCTTGTCATAACTACACGGAATAAAAAGGAGAGGGTTGGGGAAACGCCAGGTTCCGGCTGCCGGCAGCTGCACCTCCCCGGATTTGGGCTTTTAGAGGGATAAAAAGGTTGAAAAAAATTTGTTTTGCTTTTTTTTTTTTTTTTTGGGGGGGGGGATTTTCTTCCTGAAGAGAGAGGACAGGGATGGACATAGCGGCACGACTCCAGCGGGATGGAGTTTTGTTCCGAGGCAGAGTGAAAAAAAGGGATCTAAAAATGGATAAAAGGGTGATAAAATGATCCCAAAAAAGTTACACCAAAAAATGAGGCAAAAAATTGATAAAAATATCAATTAAACGGGGCCTGCTACAAGGTGAGGCCTACTGAGGCCTACTGAGGCCTACAGCAGGGTGGAATTTTGTTCTGAGGCCGAGTGAAAAAGGGATCAAAAAGTCAAAAAAAGGGAGACAAAACAATCCCAGAAAATAATCCCAAAAAAGATACACCAAAAAATGAGGCAAAAAATTTATAAAAATATCAGCTAAACTGGGCCTGCTATGAGATGAGGCCTACTGAGGCCTACAGCAGGATGGAGTTTTGTTCCAAAGCAGAGTGAAAAAAAGGATCAAAAAGTGGATAAAAGGGAGACAAAACGATCCCATAAAATGATCCCAAAAAAGTTACACCAAAAAACGAGGCAAAAAATTGATAAAAATACCAACTAAACTGGGCCTGCTACGAGGTGAGGCCCCCTGAGGCCTGCTGAGGCCTACTGAGACCTACTCTGACTTTTCTCTTTGTTAATTAATCCCTTTAATTAACAAAGCTCCCAAATTTTAGACCCTTCCCAGCTGGACTCACCTCGGGATGGGAATTCCAGGTGGTACCTGAAAAACCAAAGGGAAAAAAAGCCGTAAAATCCCAAATTTTCACCAAGGATTCTCCCAGCCTGGGAGAATTTGGGAAGCCAAGGAATGGGAAACACGAGGAAGTCCAAGAGGAATTGGGATGGGCCAGCCCTGGAGAGCAGGGAAGGGATGGGATTTAAGCCCTTCCCAGCCCGAATTCCATGGATTTCCATCCGTTGGAGCAGAACCTTCTCCAAACACAAAAATTCCTGCGACCTTTTTTTTCCCTCAAATCCTTTAAAAGTCATTTCCAGGACTAAAATATTCCAGGATTTTCACCGAGCTCATTCCCAGCAAGTGGAGGGTGATCTACATTCCATCCATTCCCCAAAAATTTTTATCCTTAAATCCCAACATTTCCATGGAAAATTCCAATTATCCAACATTTAAGCCAAAAAAGAATCAGCTCTAAGAGATCCATGCATTCCTCCAATCCCAAAAAAATCCAGATTCCCAAAATTCAGGATATTTTTGCCTCCTGGACAAAGAAGAACAGCAAAAATCCCTTTTTTTTTTTCCGGGAATTTTTGCCTCCGGAGCTTTTCCCAGCCACGTTTTAGCGCCAACATTTCCTGAATGATTTTCTGTCACTCGCAATTCCCGCTCTGTGAAAGCGCCGGGGCTTTGTTCCCGACCTCTGTCATTTTTAATCCCAGGAAATGGCCTAAAAAAAATGGGAAAATTGAGTTCCGTTCCCTCCCGGAGCAGCTCCAGGGATTCTGATGGAAAACGCTAAAAAAACTTGGATTTTCCTGCTTTTTCTCATTTTTTAGTATAAAAAAAAACAGCAAAAAAATCTGATTTCAGGCCTAGGATTTGGTTTTAATTCCATGGTTGGATTGTTTTTACTACAGGAAGGAAAATTTGGGAGAAAATGGAATTAGGGATGGGAGAGCAGAGGTTTTTAGGGAATGTGGAGGAGTCATGAGCTCATTCCTGCAAACAGAAGTTTTGGATAAATCCCATAAATGCCAGATTTTTTGGATTTCCAGGAAGTTCCCCCAAGGAATTTTGCCCCAATATTTTCTCCAAATTTGGTGTTTCCTCCACCCTTTCCTGCATAAAAATTAATCCCAAATCCTATTTTTTCCAATATAGTCTTGTATTTTTGGGTCTGCAACACCCAAAAAATGCAAAAAATTTGGGTAAATTTGTGTTTAATGGGATTTGAGCAGCTGGAAAAGTCCCAAAATCCAAACCCTCTGAGCCAGATCTATAAAATCCAGGTAGCTTCCAATTAAATTACCGATTTTTCCTCATTAATTAATGAAATATTCCCAAGGGATGGGGTGGAATGGAATCTTTGGAGCCAGGATTTGAATGTCTGGGAAAAGAAATATTTTTTTTTTTAAAAATCGATGCTGGATGAGATTTCCAACAGGGAAAAAAAAAAAATTTAAAAATGGGAGACGGGAAAATGGGATTGGGAATTCCCCATTAGGGGAGAAATGGATTTAAATTAATTTTCCAGCTCAGTTGGGGCTCTCAGGTTTCAGGTAAGTGATGGATCCAGGAGGAAATGGATGGGAAAATTGGGATAATTCCATCAGCCAGGCTGGGAAAGCCTGGAAAATTCCGGAATGGGACAACCCAGGAGGCTCCAAAGGGAATTAGTGGTGGGAGTGAGCTCAGGGATAAAAGGAGGTGAAAATGGGATGGATTTAATTTGGATTAATGGGAGAAATTCCTTCCTTAAAAGAAAAAGAGGGGAGAAAATCCCCATCCGGAATAAATCAGGAATATCCCAAAATTCCTTCCTTAAAAATAGGGGAAAACCCATCTTGAAATTAGGGAATAAATTTGGAATATCACAGAATTCTTTCCTTAAAAAAATAAAGAGGCAAAAATCCTGAAATTGTAGAATAAATCAGGAATATCCCAGAATTCCTTCCTTTAAAAATAGAGGAAAACCCATCTTGAAATTAGAGAATAAATCGGGAATATCCCAAAATTCCTTCCTAAATTTCATCGTAGATTCCACCTAAAAAAGAGGGGAAAACCCCCGTCCTAAACCAGAAAATCCAACCAAATCCAGCGACAGCTCCCCAGGATTCTCCCGTTATGCCGAGCCTGGAATATCCATAAAATTCCGAACATGGGGGAATTGCAGCAGAAGGAGAAATCCCCAGACTCTGGCGGAATTCCGGGATTTGGAGCAGGAATTCCAGGAGATCCCACCTGGCTCGGAGGCGCTGGAAGGTGCCCAGGATGGCGTCGCGCTGCTCCCGCGCCCGCGCGCTCAGCGGCTCCTCCCGCAGAGCCCGGCCCAGGAAATCCTCAGCCTCTGGAAAAGCGGGAATGGGAATGGGAAAAGCGGGATAGGCGGCCTTGGAGAGGGAAAATGGGTGTGGGAAGGGGCAGGAAATGTGGGAATGGCTGGGAAAATCGTGGAGAGGGAAGGTGGGTTTGGGAAGGGGAACAAATCTGGGAAAGGGATTTAGAAAATTTGGGAAGGGCAGGAAATCCAGGGATGGCAGGAAAATCAGGGATACGTGGCCTTGGAGACAGAAAGTGGGTTTGGGAAAGGATTTAGGAAATCTGGGAATGCGATTTAGGAAACCAGGAAGGGGTTTAGGAAACTTGGGAACAGTCGGGATATCTGAATCTGGGAAAGGGGTTAGGAAATCTGGGAAGGGAGAAGAAATCTGGGAAAAGGTTTAGGAAATCTGGACCTGGGAAAGAAAGCTGGGCCTGGGAAGGGGCAGGAAATCTGGGAATGGGAAAGGGTTCAGGAAATCTGGGAATGTTTGGGGTCAGGGAGGCCCCACAGTCCCAAAACTCTCCTCAAGGTCACCCCCAAATTCTCCTGGGGGTCAGAGCCAGGGAGGCCCCACAGCCCCCAGATCTTCGGGGTTGGGGGGCCCCATGGTCCCCAAATCTTTGGGGTCAGGGAGGTCCCATGGCCCCCCAAATTCTCCTTGATGTCACCCCCAAATCTTCAGGTCAGGGAGTCCCCATGGCCCCCCAAATTCTCCTTGATATCACCCCCAAATCTTTGGGGTCAGGGAGGACCCATGGCCCCCCAAATTCTCCTTGATATCACCCCCAAATTTTTGGGGTAAGGGAGTCTCCATGGCCCCCAAATTCTCCTTGATGTCACCCCCAAATCTTCGGGGTCAGGGAGGCCCCATGGCCCCCCAAATTCTTCTCGATGTCACCCCCAAATCTTTGGTGTCAGGGAGGACCCATGGCCCCCCAAATTCTTCTTGATGTCACCCCCAAATTCTCCTCGAGGTCAAAGTCCAGGAGGCCCCACAACCCCCAGATTTTTGGGGTCGGGGCCGGGGAGGTCCCCCGACCCCTGAAGAGCCCAAAGCTGCCCCGAAAAGCCACCCCAAACCCTGCCCAGCTCCACCCCGATCCCCGTGGGGCAGGACGGGGGCGAGGAGGGATCCGTCACCTTCCAGGAGCCGCTGGATCTCCTCTGGGATCGGGGCATCCATGGCACCCACGGGATCCGTGGGATCTTTGGGATCTTTGGGATCCTTCCCACCGGGGCCGCGCCGGCTGTGGGGTGACAAGGAGGAAGCCGCGAGGGCGGGGACACCCCAAAAACGGGGAGGAACCTTTGGGGTTTGGCTTCCTCCTCCTCCTCCTCTTAAACCCCGGCAGATCCCTGGGATCGTTCCCAGCTGTCCTGGGCGATCCCAAAACTTCTGGGTGGGAAAAGCTGAGCTCCAGCCGAGCTGCTCCACCTGGAATTCCTGGCTGGAATTTCCTTCTGGAGCTTCCCCGCAGCTTTTCTTGTCCCAAAATTGGGATTTTTCCCAGGTTTTCCACCCCAAAAATTCCAATGGTGGAAAAAAAGGGGGATGATCTGGGATGAAATTTCTCCTTTTCCCATTTCCTGCATGGAAAAGAGGTTGGGTAGGGAAAAAATGGGCCTGGGATGGGGAAAAGATGGAAAAACTCTTGGAAATGTGGAGATTTCTGTAAGGAAATACTCCTGAAAACATGGAGATTTCCTCCATAAGGAAATGTGCCTGGAAATTTGGAAATTTCCATCTAGAAATACAGGAAATATCCATGGAAATGTGGAAATTTCCACATGGAAATACTCCTGGAAACCCCGAGCTGCTCCTCCAGGTGCTCCCAGGTGTTTGGGGCCTTGCTTTTACGAGAAATAAAGGAAAAAATTCCAATTTTTTTTTTAATTTCTCAGCACAAGGCAGACAAGGAGCAGGTGCCAGGAGGATCCCGACTTTTTGGGGTCGGGATTTGGGGTCTTGGAGCCGAAGGAGAAACCCCAAAGCAGCTCCAGAGTCCTTCTGGGGCCGTTTTGGGGCCATTTTGGGGCTGTTTTGGGTTGGGATTTGCACCTCAGAAATCCCATTTTTCAGTGAAGGTGATTTTATGGAGAAGGGCCCAGAAAAGGCAAATTTCCCTGAAAATTCCCTGCTGAATTTTTTAGGATTTTGGGATTTTGGGTTTTTTTCCTTTGGGGACAACGGGAGCACCGGGGGATTCTCCAGATCTGGGACCCGAAATCTCGGAGCTGTCGCTGCCGCGCCATTCCCAAACTTTCCCAACCAGCATTTCCCAGCGGATTTTAACCCTTTCTGTGCCAGGCTGGAAACTCAGGGTGTGCCCCTCCCCCTCCAGCCCAGTTAGGCTCAGCTCAGCCGCAGCACCCGCTCGGTTTTAAGACCGAAACGGCCCCAAAAATGGAGATTTTGCGGCGGATGCTGAGGCCTCAAAGCACAGGAAATGCAGCTCAGGGGCCCCGAGCAGGAGATGGAAAATCAGAATATCACAGGAACTGCTCCTCTGATCTTTTTGGGGCCTCGAGCCTTTTTTGGGGCAAAATGTGGGTTTTTCCTTGTCAAAAGCTGCTCCTCAAATGTCCTGTCCAGGTGGGGCTCAAATTTAGGGGATTCTGAGCCTTTTCTCTGGGAAAATTTGGATTTTTCCTTGTCAAAAGCTGCTCCTCAAATCTCCCTGACAGGTAGGGCTGGGATTTAGGGATTTCTGAGCTTTTTTTTGGGAGAAAATTTTGGATTTTTCCCTGTCAAAAGCTTCTCCTCAAATGTCCTGGCCAGGTAGGGTCTCCTGAGGTGGGATTTAGGGAATTAAAGCCAGGAAATAAAAATAACAGAAAAATAAAAATAACAGAAAATAAAAATATCACAGGTAGGGCCTCAGGGAAAGGATTTTCCTAATTTCCAAGGAAATTACCTTCTCTTTTTTTTCCCTCTTTTTGCTCTCCCTTCCCTCTTTTTTCTCACCACTTCAATTTTTGGATTTTGGAATGGTCAGAAATTTGGCTTTGGGATCAGCTGGGAAGGCGAGGGGAGACTCTGGCACCGTCCTTGTCCCGCAGCATCCCAAATTTGGGGATTCCGGATTCAAAACCTCCTCCCCACGGGAGAAAATTCCCACCCGGATCCTCCCAGGGCCCGCAGCCCGGCTGAGCCCTGCTGGCATCCTTGGGAAATCTGATTTCCCGGGAAACGGAGGTGGGATTGGGAGTAACCATGGAAACGGAGCTGGGGGAAATGGGAGAGCCCTTTTCCTGTTGGGAATATCAGGAATATTGGGGGGGAAAGGGAGAGGCAGAGCCCTGTTCCCATTGGGAATATTGGGATTATTGGGGGGGAAACAGGAGAGGCAGAGCCCTTTCCCTATCAGGAATATTGGGGAAAACTGGGGGGAAAATGGGAGAGGCAGAGCCCTGTTCCCACTGGGAATATCGGGAATATTGGGGGGAAAACGGGAGAGGCAGAGCCCTGTTCCTGTCAGGAATATTGGGAATATTGGGGGGAAAACAGGAGAGGCAGAGCCCATTTCCTGTTGGGAATATTGGGAATATTGGGGGGAAAATGGGAGAGGCAGAGCCCTCTTCCTTTTGGGAATATCAGGAATATTGGGGGGAAAACAGGAAAGGCAGAGCCCTGTTCCTGTTGGGAATATTGGGGGGAAAACGGGAGAGGCAGAGCCCTGTTCCCACCGGGAATATCGGGAATATTGGGGGAAAACGGGAGAAGGACAGCCCTGCTCGGGATTTGGGATGGAATCAAACCCTGGTGCCGTTTAGGATTGTTTTTCCCAACAATTGCTCCCTGGAATGGGCTGGGCTGGAATTCCCACGGAATCTGTGCCAGAACTGTCCCAGGAATTGCCTCGGGCCAGGCTGGAATTGTCCCTGGATGGGGCTGGGTGGAATTCCAGCTCCTTCCCACCCAAACCATTCCATGGCTCTGGAATTCCGCAGTTCCTGGCCCCGGGATTGGGAAAGGCCAGACCAACATTCCATGGAACATTCCAGGCTGGGAAAGGTCAGGCCAACGTTCCATGGAACATTCCAGACTGGGAAAGGCCAGGCCAGTGTTCCATGGAAATTCCAGGCTGGGAAAGGCCAGGCCAGTGTTCCATGGAAATTCCAGGCTGGAAAAGCTCCTGGAGCAGGCTGAGCTCCCGGGGGAAGGAGGAGCCGCGGTCCCAGCTGGAATTGCGGCCCTGGAGCAGGGATCGGGCAGGAATTCCAGCGGCGTTTATTGGGAATTGTCATCACTCCAGCGGGAACAGGATCCAGATGTTGGCAGGGAAACTGGGGAGGCGAAAGGTGGAGATTTTGGGGTGGAGGAGCCGTTCCTGGTGATTTATTGGGGTTTAAAAGCCACAGGATTTGGGAAAGGGTGGGGGGGGGGGAAGATTTTTAATGTTTATTTTATTTTATTTTATTTTATTTTATTTTATTTTATTTTAATTACATTTCATTACTTTTCATTACTTTTCATTTCATTTTTTCCCAGGAAAAGATGGGGATGAAGGGAAGAGAAACTTCCAGACCCACCATCCCCTCTCCAAACCCTTTTCCCTTATCCCAGCCTCAGTCCCAAGGATTTCCCAGAGTTTGGGATGAAGGGTGATTTACACGGAGCTCCGGAATTCCCGGATTTTCCCTCTTTTCCTGCCTCTCCCCCATCCCCGGTGAGGTCCTGGCGAAACTTCGGCCTGCGACGCTTCCGGGTGGAAAAGCTGAAAAAACTGGAAAATATGGAAAATGTGGGAAAGCTGGGAATATGGGAAAGGTGGAAAAGATGGGAAAACTGGGAAATATGGAAATTATGGGAAAGCTGGGAAAGGTGGGAAAGGCGGGAAGGCTGGAAAATATGGAAGAGCTGGGAAATATGGAAAATGCCTAGTTTTGAGGGGGAAAAGCTATTTTTGAGGGGAAAGTGCCCACTTTTGAGGGAAAAGTGCCCACTTTTGAGGGAAACGTGCTATTTTTGAGACGAAAGTCTCATTTTTGAGGAGAAAGAGGACATTTTTGAGGGGAAAGTTCCCACTTTTGAGGGGAAAATGCCATTTTTGAGAGGAAAGAGGCCATTTTTGAGGGAAAAGTATAATTTTTGAGGAGAAAGAGGCCATTTTTGAGGGGAAAAAGGCCCATTTTCAAGGGGAAATGCCATTTCTGAGGGAAAGTGCCATTTTTGAGGAGAAAGAGGCCGTTTTTGAGGGGGAAATGCCATTTCTGAGGGGAAAGGGCCGATTTTTGAGAGGAAAGTGCTCACTTTTGAAGAAAAGTCTCATTTTTGAGGGAGAAGGGCCCATTTATGAGGGGAAAGAGGCAGTTTTTGAGGGAAAAAGAGACATTTTTGAGGGGAATGCGCCATTTTTGAGGGGAAAAAGAGACATTTTTGAGGGGAATGTGCCATTTTTGAGGGGAAAATAGACATTTTTGAGGGGAATGTGCCATTTTTGAGGGGAAAAGAAACATTTTTGAGGGGAATGTGCCATTTTTGAGGGAGAAGGGCCCATTTTTGAGGGGAGTGTGCCATTTTTGAGGAAAAAAGAGACATTTTTGAGGGGAAAGTGCCATTTTTGAGGGGACAGAGCTCAGCTTTGAGGAATGCAGTTTTTGCTTCTGGCCCAACCCGATCTGATTAGAGATTCTGTATTTAAAACAAAACCTCAGCAATTCCCCAGTCCCATTGCCAGAGGAATTCCCTGCCTGGTGCATCTGGGCTCCATCCTTATCTCTTAGATAGGAGAAATTCCCAAATTTACAAATTCCGGGCTGGGGGGACAGAAACGGATCAAAGGCTGGGAATGGCTTTGGGAATTCTGAGAGAACCAAAGGAAAATCAGGAATATTTGAGGCAGAAGAGGCTCCTTGAGAGCAAATCCTTGATCCAACAGGGAATTTTTGGGGATCTGCAATCCCTCGGAAGGGCGGGATGGTTCTGCTCGCTGGGGTTTGGATTTTTGGGGTTTTTGAGGTGATTTGGGTGATCCGCTAGGGAGCACCTGTGGGCCGGGATTAATTCGGGGTTGGGTTTTCCAGAGGGTTTGGAAAGGTTTCCCCGAGCCACGATCAGCGGAGGGACTCTGGGGCTCTTTGTTTTTTTGGGCTGAGAGCTCCGAGATAAATGAGAGCTCCGAGGATGCTTTTCAGCACTTCATAAATCAGCCGCCAGCTGGGCAGCTTCACCTCCCAAACCTCCCTCCTTTTTTTATCCTTTCCTCCTTTTTTTATCCTTCCCTCCTTTTTTTATCCTTTCCTCCTT